CCGAACATCAGCTCAGCTTTGGAGCAATCAAGAAGGTAGTTTGCATTTTGCAATAATAATTAATAATTGATTACACATGTCTGGTTTTGTTCGTTCTGATTCAATAATGATGCTCATGTGGATGTCTGTTTTTTTGGTTATGCTAATGTACAGAGTATAGGAAGATGGTTGAGAAGCTCTACAAGCCTTTAAATGCATGATTCTAAAAAGTCTCTGTAACTGATTAAATCTCCTCCCCTGACTGGCTCAGCCATAAAGAAAGAGTCACTGACTTGGATCATGTCTCTTTTACTTTGTAATCTCACTTTAAGCCAATGCTAGCAATAAAAAAAAAACCTTCTTTTCACAGTTTCAATTTTCGAATCCAGCTACTCGCAACAACAATAACCAATATCTTCCATATAAACCAGATCAAAAAGCATGAGGCAATGGAAGTCAAGCAACTGAAAATGTTGTAGAAATATCTGAACCAAATCAATCTCAAGAAGAGAGAGACGATGATGATGTGTGTTTGTTTTATGGATTTTATAAAATGACAGTTTTGCCCTTCTACTATAAAAACACCAACCAAGCCCATTAGTTGGTGTTTCACCCAATTTATCGCAAAAGGGGCCTCATCTTTCGGCCCATTTTATAAAACCGACGCCGCATCGCTCAGACCTCATCGTACATCCCAGAAATCTTCAAAGTTAAAAACCCGCCGGAGTCTCCACTGTCCCTAAAGTTCGAGAAGCATTTTCCATCGTTTCAGTGTTTAAAAAGACGAACAATTTCTTACTCCACTTCTCTCCCGAGCTCAGATCTCTGATCTAGGGCTTCTCTCTTCTCCTCCTCGTGTTCATCGACTAACCAGATATGTCGATCTCCGCTCAAAATCCGGATATTTCCGGCGATAGGCAGTCCGGCCAAGATGTTCGTACTCAGAACGGTACTGTTCTTCGTCTTTTTGCATTTTCTCATTTCTTCTCGTACTAATCTATTCTCTCTATGTTTCTCATCGGAGATTTTGTGTTCGATCTCTAGGGTTTTATTTTTCATCTTGTTTATCTGACGTTTTCTGGTATGTAACTCTCTGTTTACAGTGATGGCTTGTCAAGCTGTTGCAAATATTGTTAAGACCTCACTTGGTCCCGTCGGACTCGATAAGGTATGTACTCTGATTCGACTACTTTGTGATTGTTTGGGATTTTATTGGTTTCTGATTTGCATCTGAGTTAGCCTCTGTGTTTGTTTCTTAGTTGAGAGTATGTATCTCGGTATCATTTGTGTTTCTCGTACCCGATTCGTATTGTCTTGTTTCATGCTGTGTTTGGCTTGTTTTTCAGATGCTGGTGGATGACATTGGTGATGTGACCATTACAAATGACGGTGCTACTATTCTTAGGATGCTGGAGGTAGAACACCCTGCTGCTAAGGTAATTGATACATACTTACCATCAATGTGTACGTTTATGCCTGTTATATGAACTGTTAGTTACCTTGGTCTCTGTTTGTCTGCTTTTGTTATGACAGGTTCTTGTNGAGTTAGCTGAGCTCCAGGATAGAGAAGTTGGTGATGGGACTACATCTGTTGTTATTGTAGCTGCTGAGTTGCTGAAGGTTTGTTTTGATTACCATTGTCTTTGGTTTTGTTTTCTTGTTCTACTAGACTTGTGAAGATTTGTCACATGGTCCATGAGTTGATGCTTAATGATCTTATGCATATATTTGCAGAGGGCAAATGATTTGGTCAGGAACAAAATACATCCAACATCAATAATCAGTGGATACAGGGTAGGCTGCGATTTTCTTTCATATTTATTGACCTGCATTTCAGAAGTGTTTCCAGTGTGTTCCTAATCTGTGTTACTGCTGACAGCTGGCGATGAGAGAAGCTTGCAAATACATAGATGAGAAGTTGGTGACCAAGGTTAGTCCTGTTGTGATGGTCTCATGAGCATCTTCTAACTTTATTAATTTATGTAGTCAACTCTATATGGCCCTCTTTATACATGTTTTTTGTGTCAGTATAATTGGGTAAGCTCTCCATAGTACCTGTCTCGACCCCATTAATTAACTACTTATTTTTATATTCTATAGGTTGAAAAGCTTGGGAAAGTTCCATTGATAAACTGTGCTAAAACCAGCATGTCCTCCAAACTGATATCTGGTGACAGCGACTTCTTTGCCAATTTGGTATGCTTCCAGTTCTCCTTACTTGGCAATCACGTGGAAGTGCATGCTTTGTTATATTAAACCATTAATGTTAGAAAATTCTGTCATTAATTCCTTTGTTTAACCTCGGTTTTGTCTGGGAGATTCTTTTCTACTTTAGTCCGTTCTAGACGTTCCTTTAAAGTTCTGGGATCTGTTGAAACGTGCCATAATACCCCGATCATTTCATGTGGCTGAACTGTTATGATCACATTTTTCCTGAAGGTTGTGGATGCCGTTCTGTCAGTTAAGATGACAAATCAGAGGGGAGAGATAAAATACCCTATCAAGGTATTTCTATGCTTCTCTGTCAAATATTCAAACATAACATCCGGAGTGAGGATGGTATTTTTATGCTTAAACACTTCTGCTTTCCAAATTGTAGGGCATCAATATTCTGAAAGCTCATGGACAAAGTGCAAGAGACAGCTATTTGTTGAATGGATATGCTCTCAATACTGGTCGTGCTGCCCAAGGGATGCCACTACGAGTGTCTCCAGCGAAGATTGCTTGCCTTGACTTCAATCTGCAGAAGACAAAAATGCAGCTGGGTGTCCAAGTTGTTGTTAACGATCCACGAGAACTTGAAAAAATCCGTCAAAGGTAATTTCCTCAGCTGTACACTGATCCCTGATATCCTTGCATTCAGAGTACTTGCTTTTTATTTCTATAAATGGCGGTCAGTTTGTTCTCTTGATCTCTATGTGAAGAAGAATTTGCATTTATTCCAATGATGGGGGTGTACATGATAGAGATAGCTTAAGATATCTGACTCCATTGTAGCCTTGTACTGCAGATGTTATCCATCTTCTATACAGAATTGTTTTATATGTTGCTGAATATTTGTTTTCACAGAGAAGCTGACATGACGAAGGAGCGGATAGAGAAACTTCTTAAAGCTGGGGCCAATGTAATTCTGACCACGAAGGGAATTGACGACATGGCACTTAAGGTGAGCTTGAAGACCTCTCTTCCCTTACATATAACTCAACTTTTTTCTAATTATGTACTACTTGCCTTTATGTTTAATTCATCGAAGTTATTTAAATCATTAAATTCTCATTTCCTTTGCTTTCATTTCAGTACTTTGTAGAGGCAGGAGCTATTGCTGTTAGGCGTGTGCGCAAAGAAGACATGCGTCATGTTGCTAAGGCAACTGGAGCAACCCTGGTGCTTCCTCAGCTCTGCTTTTCAATACTAAAAGCATTAGAACCAAGTTACCAAATTAAAATGTGATCATGGAACTTAAATTTTCAACTAATTTATTTGTTCTTTGTTCTAGGTCACCACTTTTGCAGACATGGAGGGTGAAGAAACATTTGATCCGGCACATCTTGGATCCGCAGATGAGGTTGTAGAGGAGAGAATCGCAGATGATGATGTTATATTGATAAAGGGAACCAAAACGACCAGTGCGGTATGCAATTTGCTCTCGGCATTAGATCATGCTTAATTGTTGACACAATTATATCACACAAAATCAATCACATATTTTTAGCCTAGCTTTGTCATGACTTTGTAAACTTTTTGTCTGTAAGGTCTCTTTGATCTTAAGAGGTGCGAATGACTACATGCTAGATGAGATGGAGAGAGCACTGCATGACGCTTTATGCATTGTCAAGAGGACCCTTGAGTCCAACACGGTAACACCTTTTACTGCCTTTTAGAGAGTCCTTGCATTTGGTAGTGAAAATCACATTTCTAGTTTTACACAATACTCTGTTTCCTGTCAAACAGGTGGTTGCGGGTGGAGGTGCAGTTGAATCAGCATTGTCTGTGTATCTGGAGCACCTTGCTACAACCTTGGGCTCTCGCGAACAATTGGCTATTGCTGAATTTGCAGATGCGCTATTGATTATACCAAAGGTGTGACTTACAACCCTCTATTTCATTAATAAAAAGATTTGTCCTTTGCTCTCGTCTTATTATCCACATTTATCATCCCATTCTCAGGTGCTTGCAGTAAACGCTGCTAAGGATGCGACCGAGTTGGTAGCTAAACTAAGAGCATACCACCACACCGCACAAACCAAGGCTGACAAGAAGCACTATTCAAGGTAATAAGCAAATATTATTAGCTGTTTGTGTCTTCTCTCCTTGAGGTTATTTTCTCATCGGCTTTACGTTGGAAAAACGCAAATGCAGCATGGGACTTGACCTCGTAAACGGAACCATCCGTAACAATTTGGAAGCTGGAGTGATCGAACCAGCTATGAGCAAAGTGAAAATTATCCAGGTGAGCACTTGACTTGCTTTCTCAAATGAAGTAAAGATTTTTTTTTTTACAAAATGAAGTGATCTTTTAAATTTTAATGGGGTTTGGTTTTGTGAACAGTTTGCAACAGAGGCAGCCATAACCATTCTACGAATTGACGACATGATCAAACTGGTGAAGGATGAGAGCCAAGGCGACGAGTAAACGAACTCAGTTCAGCTCCTCTTTGTCTGTCTTATCTTATCCTTTTAAGTGTTTTTTTTTGTCCGCATTTTCAACACTGAATTTTTTAGCTTCTTTTGCGCTGTTACAATATAGCCTCTGAAACAGCAGTTTATGTTCTTTCTTACTCTCTCGTTCTTGACTTTTAAAGAATTTTTTTTGTTTTTTTCTCGGATTAAGCTTGTACTGAAAATGATGGTATGGATTCGTTGTTCTGTCTTTTGACATGATTTCCTTGCATTTTAAGATTTACCAANGACAAAGTCACCGTAATTTACTTGCACAATCAGATTAAAAGTTCCTGCAATATTTACCCATTGCTACATGCGTCTAAAGAATCGACTGTACATCCTAAAATCTGCACAACTATTTACACGGGTGGTATGGTTCTAACGCTATGAGACGAAGCCAGCAACAAGGCAGAGCCAATGCTGGATCCATCTTCCATGGCCTTAATCACTACGTGTTGAGCCACGTCTTCTCCCAATATTTCTCGCAGAGCTTCGTCCATGTATTCTCTGAACATCTTGTAGTTCGAATAGAGACCACCTTCTACTGCCACCACCGTTCTTCTCATCATCTGCTTATCGCTTCTCCTTCTTCCTCCACCGCTCCCATCTCTCCCTACTTTCTTCAAGATTCCTGCAACACCTGCTGCTGCTAGCCTGGCTGCCCTGCGTGTCACTACATCGCATATCTTCATTACAAGTTTCCTTACCTTCATTGGTACCTCTGATACCTGTGCAAGAGAAATGAGTGATGAAATTTGATGTATCATCATTCATTTGTTTTCGACGATTGTGGAACAGAGCAAAACTTTGCACCACAATGAACTTGATACTTACCCCTAAATCCTTCAAGATTCTTGCTACTTCCTGTAACTCGGGTGTGTCATCTTCGTGCATTGCTGAGACAGAATTTGTTCTGTGATCGTAGTAAGATTTGATTTAGACATATACGTAGAGTTGATTTAGACATATATGCATTACTGATCCCTAAATATCTCAAGATTCTTGCTACGTAAACTACCACTAATAGCTGCTACTACCAGAGATTTTTTGTTGAGGACTGGAAAAAGTATGGCCCTTTATTCTCCACTGAAACAGATAGAATGGAAAAGCAGACACAAGGAAATGTACCTTAGAACGAATGGCGTCAATAAAATGGAAGAGATAGGTCCAAAGACGTCTGACTCTTGTGACATACGAAGAATTACTCTGCGGACAATGTCACCCAGATACATCCCTCCTATCATCTTCTCAAATCCCTATATATAAAAAATACCCACCGATTGATCTTCAATGCTAATTGATTACCTGATTATAAACCGTAAAAACATTATAAAAAGAAAAAAGAAAGGGAAAAAATTACCATGTCATTTGAATTCAAACTCTCAGCATCCAACTCAACATCATATCTAGTTCTTGGCAGACGAGATGACCAAAAGTTTCCCCACTCCATGTTGACCACCTAACACATAAAAGTGAGTGATTATAAGAAAAATATTGACTCTTTTATATTAAACTTTCAGGAATCTAAATTTTGATGGCAGGTTTCTTAGGATGAATACCATGCTCCCAGAAGTTGTGCGAGGATTTTGACACTTGATTATGGCATCAGTTCGTTCAAGGTAACAGGCATTACTACCTGTTCCGAAGACAACAGCAGCAATAGTGTCTGGGTCATGATAATGTCCAAAGGATAGGGCCCCAACTGTATCATTCACCTGCTCAAACGATGAAACTTTATCAAAACCAAGCATGATGTCATGAGATTTTCAAAGGAGATGAAACAGCAATTTCCCGAGGATATGATTCGGTTGCAGTAACGAAACACTTACAAGAGCTGCAACGTGTATATCCAGCCCTCTCCTGTTCAACGCTCCTTGAAGACATTCCGCAATATCTTCCCCAGCCTAAGATAAAAGGATCAATGTGTCATGAACATAAGAAGAATGGTTAACTTTGGATGTGCATACACATCATTGGTGATTACATTTCCCCAAAGGAAACTTCAAATGCTAGAGGATACATTGTACGTCACAATTTTATAATACACAAACTGATGATTATACGTTTAAGCTAAACCAACTATTAACCCGCGAAAGAGTGGTTTTATCATAGGTTTGAGATGACATAATGTAGCGTTAGAATTAATTTGAAGAAAACACTACCAGGCAGACATGTCAAAGGTTCCAGAGAATTTAAACTAACCATTTCACTAATTGCAAAACCTTTGGTCCATTTAATTAGAACTCCTGAAGAGATAGATGTTTGCTTGACTGGGAAAGAGAATGTAAACGCAAGTTCCCTTTTTACAAACTGTGATAAGTTAGAAGTGTCTCCTTCTTTTTCAATGAACCCCTGCAAGGATGATGCGAGAAAGTCAAAGAGAACCTGCAAATCAAATAAACAAGTATCATGTCAGTCGGCTTTTAAAACCTGAGCTTGGAGTAGAACAATGTTGCAGAAAGCAATGTCACCTCGCTGGTGCTATTCAACAAAGATGTCGGTATGGAATGCCGTTCAACATCTTGAACTTCAAGAGATGATCTTTGGCCAGTCAAATAAACCCTTATCATCCTAAAGTAAGAGCCTCCAAGATGAAGAGCATAATAAGTTCCTCTCTCGCTCCTGAAACCAAAAGGGGATCATACATTACAGCAAGATGCCTACATTGTGACAATCAAGCAATTAAAATGCATTAGCCAGAACAATCCTGGAACCTAATCAACAATCATTGGAATATGCATTAGCTTATTCTCACCCATTGGGAAGATCATCGACGAAAGTGAGAAGCATTTTAAGCTTTGACCCTCCTTCGGAGACCAAACCAGCTTGCATTTCAACAGCTATGGCATCAACCATCTGCCTCAACCTACCCAAAGGCGTCTCACACGATTCCTCCAAATCTCTGAGTATACCCACCACCTTCCTCCACTTCCTCCGACGTTTTATCCTCCTTCTCACCATCACCGTCGCCACTGAACAAGCCACAACCGCCGCGGCTGCCGTCAACATCACCAAAAACCTCCCCATTTCCAATATCTAAAC